AGGCAGCAGTTTGGCTGGACTTCCAAGCACCACCATCAAAACAATGCAGAAGTGTCCAACATCCTCAAGCTCTGACACATTTCTGAGTGAGTCTGTAATGCTGCCATGCAGCCTGTCACTTGCATATCCTGGGACAGTCCTGTCTGCACTGCCCAGATGCACGCATGCAACTTCTGTTTGGTTCGGAATTTTTAAAGGGGGGGGGAAGAAAGAACATCTGTGAAGAGGAATTTAAAAGCATTCATCTAAATCTTGCCCACTGCATTTACCAAACAGCAAACACACTCAGCAGACATGCAGTGTATGACGATAGCTCAAGCCCCTTGGCTCATGCTGGCCCCTACAGCATGGAGCAAAGGTGGGTTCTTGGCAGGGCTGTGCACTTGGGGTGACAGGGAGGGACTGGCATGGCACCTCCCTCCTTGCCACCCTCAGATGCAGCTTTGGAAGCGAACATCACCTTTTCGCATCAGCAGGAGGAAGCACGTTATAAACTTCACTTTAAGAAGTACACCTGTAACAGTGTGAACACTGCAATAAAACAACTTCAAGAGTAACCCATCAGCCACACAACCAGGAGCTCTTGGCAATCAGTAACCAAACTACATCACAAAGCCCTGCCAGAGGAGATGGGTTAAATAACTTCATCTTCCTTGACAAACATTCATCACAGCAGGCGCCACTCCAAGCCCCATCAGCACAGGGCCCTAGGTACATAGGATCTCATCCTGTCTCTATGCCTCCAGCTACTCCCAAGCTCCAGGTTGGATGTTCACATCACTGAAAAGAAGCAACAAGGCTATTTATTCAGTCCTCTCATAACTCAAACTGCAGGCTGGAAAGGTAGATCTTAAAAAGAGAGAGAAATGGGGGGGCTTGGGGTGGGAGAGAAGACTCAAAACACATCCCAAGCAAAAAAAAAATCATGCTCACGCTGAGCGCCCTGAGCTGCAAAAGCTCTCAGGCCATTTCTTGCTTCATCCAAATCAAGAGAAAGTGTCCTTGCTGCTTTCGCACAAAGCTCACTTAACTTTTAGCAAGAGGCACTTTGCTGCAACAGACCTTTTCAAGGCCCACTGGCTGTTCGAGCTAATAAAAGCGAGGCTATGCCTGATGGAGTAACACCATGGGCACGCTGTGGCTAATCACTCATGAGCTGAAATTTTAGGAGCAGGGGGGAAACAAAGTGGAAGAGACAGCAGAGGGAAAGAAAGATGGGGCTACTTAGGAGGAGCACCTACCCCCCCCCCCAAAATCACTTGATCCCAAACAGCAACCCCTGAGAGCAGTGTGTCAAATTGTATAAGAAAGGCTACCAGCAAAGATGAAGTTATTTGGATTAATGACAGTAGTTCATTACTCATGACAGGCTTGTTCATGCAATCCCTCCTAGGACCCCAGCTGTGGCTGAGCACCCTCTAAGGTGTCTAGACCCTCTCCTACATGCTCTTTTCAAAGCTGCATCAGGCTGGGCACCAGCATATCCCCCTATTCCATCAGGATTTTGATCCCAGTCAATTTCTCTTCATAGTACTCCAAAAGAATGACATCTTTCTCCTCTGGAAAGCAGCTGTGACATGAAATGCACACAACAGTGCAAAACAACTCAGGCTAAGGACAGAAGAAAGCCCCAGTGCAACATTGGCTCTGGCAGAGGCTGGGAAGGGAACACTACAGCCCCTACCACTAGCCAGATCAGAGCTTCCATTGAAAGACACATCCAGCAAGGTCCTTAGCCCTGGGGCATGGATTTAAGTAGATGCTTCTTCTAGGCTGTCTAGCAGAGAGATGGCATGTGCCTGGGATTGCCCCTCTGATCATTTATGGAGCACACTATAGTCAGCAAGCACCCACCGTAGCCATGTGCCAACATCTTCACAGACTGAAAGCCACCAGGCTCCATAACCAAAGATTTCCTACTCTCATTGATCAAAGCTTCGAACTCAGGATGCTGCATCTCACAGCACATGCATACACGTTATTCTAGCCCCTGCTATAGTGTCCTGGTCATTACCCAACTACAGGTAAGATCCAGGACATCTGCAAGATTTGGGAAAGTCTTAACTGCTGGGATTCCACATTTCAGCTACAGAACCTGCATGCTGAAATAGGGTCCAACAGCAACTCAAGCATGAAGGCATGAGTTTCCACATTTGTAGGTTTTGGGCCATAAAAACCTCAAAGTAACCCTCATCCTCCTGTAACATTATTAAAAGTCTTATTGGAGGAAGCAAGACATTGTAGTGGGAAAACATACAGACGTTTGCGTTTGGGATGTAGTTTGAACTATTTATGCTCAGAAGCAAACCTTCAACTAAGCTAGCCAGGCAGTTGCCACCTTAATGGGATTTTTACACCCTAAGAAGACATTGTACACTGTAATGAGAGGCCACAGGCCAGCCCCTCATCAAGCCAACCCATATCCTAAAGCTTCTTAAATTTAAAAATAATCCATTCTCAAGACCATCTGCATAGAACATCTGAGAAACTTCATAAATCAAATCCTTTTTAAGATGTCCTCAACACTCCTGGGGTGTGCTCCAAAGAGGATTGCAGTGCCTTTTTTCTTTGCATACCTCCATCAAGTCAGCAGAGAATCTACCATACCATGGACATTATTCTGGGTATTATTGCATCTGAGCAGAAAACATTTCTGATGCTACCTCTCTGCTCTATTCAGGAGATGCCTCTGGAAGGGACATGCAGCCTCTTTGCACATGGGCTGGATACCGTTCCCAAACCCAGCTACAGCAAATAGCTGTGTTGCGCAGCTCCTACCTCTTGCAAACATTGTGTCTTCACTTATCAGTGGGAAAAAAAAAGAAAAGAGGAGAACATCAATTTTTACAGTTTCCCATAAAGGGAGCATTTTACAACTTGGTCCTAAAACAAAACATTGTATTTTCATATCACAGTCTTGACTTGGTGCTACAAAACCTGCAGTTTGCCTTCTGAAAGAAAGACGGCTTTGTGCTGGGGAGGGAGGATAGTGGAAAAGGAAAGTGAAATTGTAAAAAGGTTTCATCTCCTCCTTCCCCAGGACAGGGGAAAAAGAGAGAAAATGGTAAAACTCCCTCTCTCTAAACACCCATCTGGATTTTGGCAAATGCAAGTTTCCCATGGGAATACCTTATCTTCCTTCCTCCCACACCCCCCCTCAAAAAAAAAAAAAAAAAAAAAAAACCAAAACAAACAAAAAAACCCAAAACACCAGCTCTATCCCATAGTGCCATCATGCACCAAGGCATCCGAGGCTGCCACAGCATGTGCTAGGAAGACCCCAGGAAGGAGCCAGGTTTGTTGCATGCATCCTCACCACAGCAGGCACCAGGAAGCGGCAGCTCTACCAGCCCTCCTGACCCCCCTCGACAACTGTCATGGCCAGGAAATCTGCCACCAGACAGGGCTTTTCACCCAGCACAGAGGAAAAACCCAACCAAACAACAACAGGAACACACGCACCAGAATAGAAAACTTCCTATTTCAGCATCACTCCCCTCAGAAAACACTGGTGGATAAGAGAGGAAAGACAGCTTGGGGAAACAACAGTGGCTGGGAAGAGGATGCTGGCTGCACCCCTGGACATCGTTAGCACAGGTCTGGTTTTGGGTTTGCCTTTCCCATGCAAGATACCTGTGGGAGAGTCCTGGGCTGCATCCTTATCCCAGCCAGCTCCATTAGTCACCCGTGGACAATCGACACATCATCCCATCCTCCACATCCTTTTATGTGGTCAAATAAGCTATCCCCAGCTCTGCTTTCCCTGCTAGCCTTTTTTGTTAATTATTATTTTTTAATGAACTGTTGCCTTTTCTATCAACAGCCTTATTAGTTTCTTTTTTCTTCTTCATTAGGTACTTACTACCGACAGGACAGATTTTGTATTTTCCCGATTAATTGCCAGTAATGAAACCCCACACGTGTATTTCTAATTGCAAGGAGCATGGGCTATTATTTACCTTCACATAGCATCCAAATAATAGTGGATCAGAACAAAGGGACTGGTGCTGGGTAGATCAAACCAGAGGGGAAAAGCTGTCCCTGCCACAAAGAGCTTGCAGCCAAGACACACCTAACAAACCTCAAACTCTGCGAGTTAAAAGGATGGCTAATGCAGTTTGGCTGGCTGGCTTTAATGGGGACCAGAAGCTTGAAGTTTGAGCATTTTCTTTAAATAAAGGCTCCGGCAACGACTCCAGGCAGTTCAAAGCTAAAGATGTTCGGCTAATGCCGAGTTGGACATGTGTGGGGGTCGGTATTTGAAGTGATCAGGAAAGCATTTATTTAAAGAAAAGAGGATTCCAGGTTTTGTGAGATACTAAGGAAAAGAGGAGCGAGCAAAGAAATGCGTGTGAATTCTGGAAGTGCTTTCTCGAGAAATAAATGGAAACCGTTCAGAACAAGTGTGCCGCTTTGAAAAGCCGTTTTCCCATTTAATATGTTTTTGAGGGGATTAAGCTCCCCAACCTCCTTCTCTGCCACGCAGTCCCGCCTGGCCGGGGCCGGACCCGGACCCGGACCCGCATCCCTCTTCCCGCGCATCCGGAGAAGTTCAGCCGTGGCTCACCCGAGAAAACTTTGCAGCTTCTCAACGCCTCCTCCTTCCAGTCCTAACTCAGGATTAGAGCCGAGGGATGGGAAGGCGGGGGACAGCGCTTGCTCTTTCTGGGGCAGGACAGCAAGCACTAACACACAGTATTATTTTTATGTTTGCTAAAGGGGAGAAAGGTTGGGCTTCCCGTCTCCTGCCATTGAAACCACGGGTCTGAACGACACCCACCCCCCCAAAAAATAATCGTAAAAATAACAATAACAACGATGCCAGCGCTCACCCCAAAGTTGTCCCCTCGGTGGAAGCAAATAAAGGAGCTTTGGGAAGGAGGGCTGCGAGTAAAGCCGCCCCTCGGGGAAGGGGGAAAGATGCCAGCGGCTCCGCGCATTCTCCACGCAACCCCCCTAAAGAAATAAACGCGGAACAAGGGAAACTCGCGGGGCATTACCTGTGGCGGCGGTCTCGGTGCCCGGTGTCAGCGGCGGTCCCTCATGCCCCCCCGTGGCTGCCGGCCCCCGCCGCCCTGCCAGCCGAGTGAGCCGCCGCGGGAGGAGGAGGAAGGGGTGGGGAAGGAGCCCGAGCGGCGGCTGACGCGGGCGGCGCAGCGCCCCTTACCCAGGTAACGGGTATTTCAGCACCGGCTCCGCCGAGCGCCCCCGGGGACTCCCGGTGCGGCAGCCGGTCCCCAGCTCCCGGGGTCACTCCCAGGGCTGGTGGGGGTAACTCCCGAGGCAGCGCTCGGTTGCCTCTTCAAATACAACTTCAGCCTGAGGCAAGCACCGGCCTCATGAAGTTTAATGCAGCCACACAGGTTTTAGTGGTTTTTGTTGTTGTTATTAGTATTATCTTGATTTTTCTGACCTTTGTGCATGAGCAGCTGGCAGGCCCGGGAGCACGTAAATCATACATGAGCAGGAAAGCGATACGGGCAGCCCACTGGCCTCTGCACCGCGCTCGCAAGCATGCTAAGAGAGCCTCATAGCAGTTCTTCCTGCCTAGTGCTTCTCCCTTGGACACTCGGTTTCTACAGAGACGGCATTGCATTTGGCATGCTATAGTTGCACGTTTCCACCTTATCCTTCACATTCTTACCACCAGATCCCTCCAACTGCAAGTCCTCACAGCTTTCCTAAGCCCTGCTGGACAATGCAGGGCAAATCCTTGCCTCCAGTCCAAGCTCTCACTACAAGCTGCTTTAGGGAAGGCAGCCAAATCCCACCACTTCATCCCAATTCTTGCCTTCTTGGAAAAAACAAAGCCATAGGAAGCAGTCTGCAGCGACACCAGTCCCTACACCAAGGGGGTGACGCAGCTCCCAGCAACAGTCCATGTCCCTCAACCCAAGGAGGATCAGAGCTTTCGGTCCTGCCTTGCTGCACACACATGCACAAGTCTCCCACCGCTTGTGACTTGGAGCTTTACCTTCCTACCAGACCCCATCATGAGCAGTCTTAATTAAAACCCCAGACAAGTATAGGTCATACTGCTAAAGCCCCTCCTGGAGTTCTGACTGGAAAACTTAGAATCCTTCCCATCCACTCACCTATGTATCCCTCCTCCTGGAGGAACAGGGCCAAATGCTTCTGCAAGACCAGGAGGGAATCATTAAGCCCTTGCCTCTCTATAGAGCAGCTTCTGCTAATTATGCAATTACCCCAACTCCTGGGCTGATTGATTGGAATTGGGCAGAGGCCTGTTCCTGGTGCCCTCAGTTTTGCCTTGGGGAAGTGGGCTCTGCAGTGGCACCCCAGCTACAGGGATTCCTCCAAGATGAGGGATCCTCTCCCTGTCGTGGGCAGGGGCATCAGCCAAACCTGGTTAAGCTGCAGGCAGGAGCTGGACCTGATGCTGCATCCCAGAGTCAGCTCTATCAATCTGCAGCTGCTTTGGGGTTAAAAACAAAAGTCCCTGGCAAACAGCTGAGTGTGATGAGCTATCTGCAGTTAACAAAGGTGCTGGGAAGTAATCTCCTTGAATCACACCTGGGTTGTATAGGATTTGCCAAGGATTTGCCCTTGGTGCTGGAGCCTGTCCTAAAATTGCAGGTCACAAGGAGTGCAAACGGTGCAGGTATAACTGGTGTGGGGCTCCAAGCACCCTGCTGAGCTCAGCCTGTGCAGGTCCATGTGGTTTATCTCTCCTGGGCTCTTCATCTCTCCCTTGTCCCCTTCATCAGCACAAGGCAGTGTGTATGCAGCCAGGATACCTGCACAGTGAGGATCCCAGCTGCATCCATAAAGTCAGGAAATTAATTAGGAGAAGAAACAACAGGAGGGGGAATGACCAAAGCAAAACCATATGTTAAGTAACTTGAAGCCACATTTCAGGCCCGCTTGTCATCTGTAGCTGCTGTGACTTTGCACAAGTGATATCTTGATAACTGATGATAAATTCAGGTCAGTGTTTCTACTTAAATAGAAGCACACCTCTCCCCTGCTTAATTGCTGCCTGGTTCCTATGCCTGGGCTTCACACCACAGCTTTCAGTGTGCAGGCTGGATAGCTGACTTTCAGCTCATATCCTGACCAGTTTGAAGACCTGTCACCTGTTTTACATAAGTCAACTCTAATGAAGAAGAGTTCCTCCTGGTCTCTGTGTCTTGCTTGGACTCCTGGTCCAATTCCCAGTTGAGCCCAAGTTGCAGCCTTTCCCATCAGGGGGAAGACTAGTGGGATTTCACTGCCTGGGTTTACAGAACTCACAGGAATTCAGTATCTTGTGACCTGTATCTCCCTGTCAAGCTCAGTTTAATCACGCAGCAGCAGCAATAGCTGTGTACAGGCTGGACTTCAAACCAACTTATCCAGTTGGCGTTCCCAAGCTCCTATGTGAAAAAAACAATGTTGCTCTGTGATGCAGCCCATGGGGGATGTGCCATCACAATTGCCTTTTAACAAGTTCATAGCTGGGAAAAAAAGGAACTAAAATGATGCACTCCGAGCAGGGGGATGCTCCCAGTTGCCATTGCGATTAGAGGCTACCACAATTAATGCCAACCTTACAAGGCAGGGAGAGTGGTGTTTAGCAGGAGGGCTCAGATAACCTCCCTGCTACCCCAGCCTTTCTCCACCTGGATCATTACTGGGAAACCTTATGTTTTTTGAGCCAGGTTCCGTCACCTCTCTGCCCTGCCTGTGAAAGCAGAGCAGCTAGACAGAGCCTCTGCAGCCTCCTCGCACCACTCGCCCAACCTTGAAATTGTACTGCAGGACTTCTCCCCCTCTCATTTTCTATCTAACCACAGAACATTTCTCCATCCAACTACCCCTATGGTGTGTCACTCCTCTCTCTGCCTCCCCTGGCCCTTCTGCTGTAAGAGGTGGGATTTCCGTTCGCCTCTAAATCTTAAATAGATGAAAATGGAAAGCAGGTAAAATGTAGGCACATGCAAAACCCTTCCCAACTAAGGTATTGAATTACCTCTGTTTGCTGTGGACCATGTACTGCCATGGACCTCAGGGTCTGCACAGACACCAGCTGCCTGACAGCCAGCACGTGCAATATTGTACCATCGGTCATTTTTTCATGCCTGCTTTTCCTGGGGGTCTCCCACAAGGATCCCTTGATGTCCTTCCACAAACACACCCTTTTTTAGTAAATAAAACCTGTGCAAAGGTGCAGGAGGGATTTTTGTTCAGGAAGAACCAGCCCCTGTGCCCCGCTTTCACTTCTTCTTGGACGTGGTGATTTTGTCCCCCCACACCACAAGCCCCTTGGGGATGTTGGTATCCTCTATGTTCCGCGGCTTTCCAGCACCCCACATTGAGGGGTGGGTTGGGACAGCAGCACAAGGGAAGCAGCTCCCCCACCATCCTGCCCTCTCACCTGAGTCACAGAATTAATCTGTACAGCAGTGGCAGGGTTTTCTTTCCGACCACCTGTGCTGTGGCTGACAGTGAGACAGGTTTTCTGGTGTGAAATTAATTTCCAGGTCCATTTCACACAGAATTTTAAGGCCAATATTAGGATCATGTTATTTGTTTAGGAATTTATGAGTGAAGGATGCTGGAGAGGAATCTCAGCAAAGTTAAGGGATTGCGCGTGTTTCTATAGAAGAAAAGCACTGAAAGAGCAGCTGGTTCTCCTTTTTCCTTTAGAAGCACAGAAGTACTGTGTTTCAAATTATGTCTTTGAAAGTTAATAGTCGTTATGGAGAGTGAAGCAACTGTGTTTAAAGATAGTGGGAAGGGCAGAAGCTGGGCACGCGTTTGCAGCACATGCTCAATTCATATGGCACCCTTCACTGAGGGTCCACCAGCTCATGTTTACAGATGTATCCAGCTGAGCTACCCCTGGACCAAGCATTCCCAGCTGGGCCAGGGCAACTGGAGCTAGACAGAATCATAGAATGCTTAAGGTTGGAAACAACCTTACTATCATCTAATTCCAACCCCCCAACACCTCACCCTAGATCATGTCACCCAAGGCTCCATCCAACCTGGCCTTGAACACTGTCAGGGATGAAGCATTCACCACTTCTGTGGGCAACCCGTTCCAGTGCCTCACCACCCTCGCAGTAAAGAACTCCTTCCTTATATCCAACGAGATAGCCAGAGCTGCAGCATGGTGGTAACACGCAGCCAGAAAAATCAAGGTGTGAGTTCCAAAAAGCTTTACAGGACCACTCCAGACAGACCTGGCTGAAACCCTGAAGCTCTGCCCTTTGCAGACTCCAAAGCAGCCTGCTTGCAAAACACATTGTCTCCCTTTGTAAGCCAAGCTGGAAGCAGTCAGGCCTTGTCTCCTGCTTACAGACACTGAATGCACTCTGCGGCCCCTGCCATGGGGCTTGTTAGATCCTGAAGAGGTGAATGAGGAACAAACTCCTTCATACAACTCTCTGAGCAGCTGAAGGTGCTTTTCACTGGCTTTTGAAACAGCCCTTGGAGTAATTTCCTACTGATAGGGAATGTTAACAAATCCATAGAGTAGTGATGGTTCGGTGATGATTTCGACGGGCAGTCTTGAGCAAGAGCTGTCACAGTGAGAGGGGCAGCTTTGGGAGCCGGGTCCTTTACTCCGGCGGGGATGGCTGGCATGAGTCACTTCGTGCCACCACGTCCCAGCTTTGAGCTCTACCTGAGCAGCCGCTTTTCCCCAGCCCTCAGCTCCGATTTCCCCCTCAGCAGAGTAGAAGGTGCCATCTACAGGCACCGCATCCGCACTACAGCCCTCTGGGTCTCCGCTGCCCGGGCCGGGCTGGACGCGCTCTCCTGTCGTGCCACCAGACCCTGCGCTGTGTCCCCTTCCCTGCAATGAGGGCTCGGAGCTGCGTGTCCCCGTTGTTCACTTTTTGGGATCAGGGACTTCCCAGAGCGCTGTGTCAGGTAGAAGACCGCCTCCCTCTTGGGGACTCCTGTGTGCAACCTTGATGGTAACCCAGGGAGCGAGACAAAAGCACAAGGGAAGGTGATCACCATTTATACAGCTGCCAAGGAATGAGCAAGCAGGTCACAGGGTAAATTTGATCACACTGTTGCCTCGGGGGAAAAACCTGGAGGGCACCGATGCTGCTTGCCCAGCAGCCCAAATTCCAGCCCCATGGGTCTACCTGAGCTGCTCCTTTTTTGTGTTTCTTTGCTCTTCCAGTTGCCTTTCATTTAATCCATTGTGGCTGGGTTCACATGCCTGTAATTTAA